AAGTTGGGGTTACTCCCCTTGTACATAACCGTTAAATGGAATCACTTTCGCTTTCACGACAGGGGTGCTGGGGCTAACCAGACTGATTCAAAGCACAGTTACAAAGAAAAATACTAACCAATGAGTCTTGTGAAAAATGGGAATTATTGTTCATTCGATTTGACATGTAAATATATTGTGGTTCGTAGCACAGGGTTGTTTTAAAACGTCAGGGGCAGTGCCGACTGTAATTCATTTTATAGAGAAGTATTTTTGCTACGGGCAGAAGGCAGTTGATATTGGGAGGTTGAACAGGATATCTATCGCCTTCCCAACGGCCGTTTCACGTACACAAGAAGTCTGAATAGAAAAGAATTCAAGGGGGGGAATCCTGTATTGCAGGAGGTGGGAAGTCGCCCCGAGACGAAGCTCCACCTCAGACTTCGGGAGTGTGTGGTCAATTTACGTCGCACAGGTTTGAGAGCTGTATCGTTGATACGATCCTACAGAGTCCCTCTACTTTGAAGATGGCTGTTCTCTGGGTTGTTGGCGCCGTGTAATCTGGCAGATGTTTTCTGACGTTTCATAGGTACTTGCTGTTTCCATCATTAGGGCGATGATCGGTAAACATCAGCCAGACTACACGGGGCAACAACCCAGAAGACACTTTCATAGTCGCTGTCGTGAAGACTTGAAATCTTTCCATTTTGTTTCATCATTGTTAGGGACGTACATGCAATGGTTAGCAATCCTGACTTTTGTAGTCCGAGATTCGAATCTCGGGACGAAACAGGTTCTCTTGATTACTCAGAATGTTATAGTCTTCCTTAGCCCTACCAGGAAAATTCTGGGATGACCTTGAAGGGACTATGGCTACCTCCTGCTACATTCTTCCAGTTATCGTTCACCTACCATTTGATGTTAAATAACTTATGCAGTTGAAATTAGTGACCATGTAACCCGAGAAGAAATTAATTAATAAGCATTCGAGTCCGACAAAACTATAATATTATAAAAACGTAACACTGGCTTTTTGAACGTAATTGCACAGCGAGGTTCTTTTGCGAGAGCCTACACTGGCCGAAGATTTTGAGGTTTCTTTTATCAAGTCGTTTCGACCCGAGTTCATTTGATGACTGCGCTGTCGAGAAAATACTCCATTTATAATTTTTTAATTCTTGGCTAGTTTTGTATGGGCTTGTTCCATGAACTGGAAGTGGTCGTGGTCTGTTCCAAAGTAGTGTTCTATCTCCGCTTTCGGCTGACAAAATGAAGTCGTTTATTTATTCGACATCCAACCTTGAGTGACCTCTTTTCTTGATAGTGTCGACTTTTTCTTTTATAAGAAGACGTATTCGAAAGTAACTTTTTGAAAACGTCCGTAGAAATTAAACTTCCCTGAAATTCTGTCGGAAATGCACCCAATTTTTGTCTTGATTCCCTCGGGGACTGCGTGAACCCGGTGTCACTTCATCATTGCGACCATATGCCACTACATTACAGACGAGAACTATTCCACTATTACGTTCGAAAGAGACAGCTTGGTGGCGAGCCTTTTAAAAGTTGCGTAATAATCAATTCCTTTAACTGCAGCATACGTAACTGATTGAAGACCCCAAGACCTTGCTTCTTGCCAAGGCGAGCTACCAAATGCCTGGAAGGATTCATAGTTTCACTAGTTAATTCTGAATTGTAACAGGCCAGATAGCCTCATCCATAAAAAGATTTACAACAAATTGAAGGCCGTGTCATACATGGGAACTGCCTCCTGTTTACCATATCTGTAACAAAATCATCAAATTGACGTTTACTGATGGCTGAGATAGTAATAAATGTAAAATGTTTAAGAACTGTTTCGCAGTGTTGGGAATTTGGGGATTCCCAGAAAAGGCAGTCATGACGGAGAGCCTGTTAAAGGAAGAGTCCTCTGTACATGAAATGGCGATGTTAAAAATGACAAATCAATAATAATAAGCATACGTCAGGAAGTTATGTTAGGCAGGTGTGGCTTACGATGCATCATTTGACCTTTGTGCTTTAAACAGAAGTGTTATGCGTGAGTCATTTACATCTGAATTTGCATGAATCGTGTTTGTCTGTCTCGTGGGTACGTATGTTACGCAGAGGCGATGTTACATTTGCTAGACAGAGGATGTTCTCGTTCTTGAGTGGAGTCTCAGAATTTTAAGGCCAGTCGTAACTATATGTACAACTTCCTCTAATGGTCGGTCAGTAACTCTGAATCTAACCCTACAAAGTGTATTCAGTGGTTTCATATGGCTGTCTGCATTAACAGTGTCTTTCAGTACGCAGTCACTTCTCTGTTTACCAAATCCGTATTATTTAGTTTGTCAGGTTTCACACCGAAGCAACAAGCAACAGGCAAGACGTGGCAGTTGCTTACAGAAATCGCATGCATATCAATGTGAAAAGTTAGCAT